ACCACTGCGCCACCGCGCCGGGCCCAATAAATGAATCTTTAAACAGTAGCAACAACAAAAACACACTCCTGTGCAAATGGCCTCAGCTCAACTGGCCTCAGAGTACAGGGGAATCAGCCTGTTGTGCTGGTGGTCCCCAAATGCCCACCTTCAGAATCTACCCTGAAGTCACTGGCAGTCCCACAGAGGGCACCAAGCCACTTCCCGAGCCAGGGGAATGTACAGCCTGCAAGCCACATAAGGCCTGCAAATCTGCTAAGGCAACCATAGGCAGGACTCCAAACTCAGTAACTCTATATAGCAGGCTAATTTTTAAATTGCTCATTTCTATCTGGCCCACAAATGGTATAAATATCCAAATGGCCCCTTGGCAGAAAAAAAGACCTCTACACCTGCTAATTCATGAACAAATATCTCCAAAAAGCACTCAGCAATCTGATCCTATTTCCCAGGACAGTTTACTATACTAAGGGAATCCACAGGAAGTCCCCCTCCCTTCTAAGCTAACCTGCAATGGTGCTCCTTCTCAAGAGGAGGGCTCTTCCTACAGGGGAAACCCCCACACCCTATCCCCCCACCTGAGTTCACAACCCAGTAAGTCACCTGCTAACCACATCTCCTCTGCCTCCAGGCCTGTTGGTTGGGTGTCCATCTGCAAAGGGCTGCTCAGTGTTGCGAAGCAAGATAATATGGTAAAGACAACTTCCGATTCCTCCACAAGCCTCTGCCTCCACCATAGTTTGTCACCTGCCTAGAATCCTTAGTGGCTCCCTATCCCTCATCACCTTGCCCTCATTCACACCCAGCTCATCAACCAGTCGTATGAGCCTTCAGGTCCCTGTCACCACCACCTCCTGCATAGACAATTGCAAACAGCCAACAATCACAAGGTCTTTGTGGCCTCCACCGCTGCCCACCGCCACCAGACCAGACTCATCAACTATGGATAACTTCGGGCTGCCGAGAACATTCTCTACAAATCCATCAGGCCCCAGCCTGCTTTTCCTTCACCTCAATCACCAGGCTTCAGCAACCTGTCCTTTGCTGAATATCCCAAAAGCCTACCCACTTGCACTTAGTTCTAACTGCACCTGTCACACACACTCTCAGCCGGTACCTGTTCTTCAGATTCTAATTTCCATCACACCCCAAAGGCCATATCAAATATTCTCTCACAGCAGAGCGCGCTCCTCTCCTTAAGTACAAGCAACAATTATACGCTAGGAAACAGACCAGCAGAAAAAGATTCAGATTAGATTAAAAATCTCATCACTTGTTGGTTCAATATAGACCCTGTAATCAACTCTGCCGGAGTGAGCACCAATGGGTTAGTGAGGGAAGACGACAGGTCAGCTGTCACTGCAGATGCAAATGTCTCAGCCGCATCTCACTCGGACAGCTGAGAAATTTAATTCCACTTTGAGCTTTTCAACAGTCACTGGAAAATGGAACAAACCCCAATCCAACTGGACTTAGTTCCAGCTACTGAATAAGTACTGAATAAGTTAACCCTACCAGGCCCTACCAGGCTACCGCACCAGGCCCTAAAAACATTTGAGACAGATCCCTACTCTTGCCAAGCCACAGCCACTTCCTTCTCTCCACGACTCCTTTTTTACATTTATTTACTTGGAAGAATTAGAGAAAAACAGCATTTCCATGTGCTGGTTCACTCAGAAGCTTCAACAGCAGGAGGAAGGCTGGTCTGAAGCCAGAAGCCAGAAGCCAGGAGGTCTCCGATGCGGACATAGAGGTCCAAGCACTTGGACCATCCTCTAGCGCCTTCCCAGGTGCATTAGCAGGGGTTTGGATGGGAACTGGTACAGCCAGCTCACAAACCGGCACTGAAAGGGGATGCTGGCCACACAGGCCCTGTCTTTGCTTGACATGTCAGACCACCACACTGGCCCCACCTTCCTCTGTGTGCTCTGCTGATCCCTTGACCTTTGTCCAAACTTGAACTTATTTTTACTCTACTGATGAACTTCAGAACCTGTAGTTTGGTCTCAACAGCCAGACATTGGGTAACATAAAATGAGGATACATTACTGAAGAGCCAGAGTTCCCTGTCAGACTAAGTGATGAATTTGTAGCTCTTAGGTAACGACCATTACCTCAGTGACATAATCCAATGTGACTGGCCTGGTGGCAGAGCAGGGTAAAGCTGCTGCTGTGGTGCAGGCATCCCACATGGATGCCAGTTTGTGTCCCACGCACTTTATAATTTTTAAAAATCTTTACTTTATTAAAAAGTAAGACGTACAGAGAGGAGAAAAGACTTTCCATCTGCTGGTTCACTCCCCAAGTAGCCACAACAGCTGGAGCCGAGTTGAGCTGACCCAAAGCCAGGAGCCAGGACCTTCTAGGTCTTTCAGAACAGGTGCAGGGTCTCAAGACTTTGGGTCGTCCTCGACTGCCTTCCCAGGCCACAAGCAGGGAGCTGGAAGGGAAGTAGAGCAGCCAGAATACAAACTGGTGCCCATATGAGATCCCAGTGTATGCAAGGTGAGGACATTAGCCACTAGGCTACCGCACCAGGCCCTGTCACATTCACTTTATAGAAGAAAAAAAAAAAAAAAGGTGAGAAGAGGGAGACAGAGAAAGATCACACATCTGCTGTACTCATTCCCTTCCCAAATGCCTGAAACAGCCAAGCTAACAGCTCAGAATGTAAACCAGGTGACACAGACCCAAGTTGTTGAGCCTCTACCTGCTGCCTCCCAGCATATGCAGCATAATATTCTATATGCTCCCAGCATATGCAGCATAAGCAGATGGAACTGGAAGCAAAACTGGGACTTCAGCACAGTCACTAAAACATGGAGTGTAAGCATAACAAGAGCACCAGTGTACCAAACACCCACCCGAGGTATCTTATTTTGGGCCTGCTGTGATAGTCTACTGGGTAAATACTTGCCTTGCATGCACCAGGATCCCATAAGGGTGAAGGTTTGTGTCCCAGCTGCTCCATTTCCCTTCTAGCTCCCTGCTTGTGGTCTGGGAGCTCAGTAGAGGATGGCCCAAAGCCTTGGAACCCTGCACTTGCATGGGAGACTTGGAAACTCCTGGCTTCAAATCAGCTCATTTCCAGCCATTGCAGCCATTCAGGGAGTGAATCAGCAGACAGAGCATCTTTCTGTCTCCTCTCTGTAAATCTTTCTAATAAGACAAATAAACATTTTTTATTTTTATAGGAAAGTCAGATATACAGAGAGGAGGAGACAGAGAGGAAGATCTTCTGTCTGCTGATTCACTTCCCAAGTGGCTGTAATGGCTAAAGCTCAGCAGATCCAAAGCCAAGAGCCAGGAGCCTCCTTCAGGTTTCCCACGTGGGTGGCAGGGTCCCAAGGCTTTGGGGCCATCTTCGACTGCTTTCCCAGACCACAAGCAGGTAGTTGGATGGGAAATGGGGCCCCTGGGATATGAACCGGTGCCCATAAGGCATCCTGACACATGCAAGGTGAGGACTTCAGCTGTCATTGTACTGTGCCGGGCCCAAGATAAATAAATCTTAAGAAAAAAAACTATTTTCATTTAATCTGAAAAGCAGAAAGACACCTTTCTGGATGAACTTCTTCTATCCATTTGCTCACTCCCCCAGGCGCCTGCCAGACCCTGAGCTGGATCAGATCAATCCAATGACAGACCAAACATTCCGGCCTGGGTCTCCCCCACGGGTAGCTGGGTCATCACCAAGGCCTTTCGGAGTGAAGCCAGCACTTTGCTGAGTGAACACATGTACTCAGACTGGGATGCGATATTCTAGTCAGTCTTCATTACTGCACCTCAGAAGCCAGCACCGCCCTGCTGTGTCACATTTTGAGACATTCATAGTTGGGAGCACTAAGGCGCATGCGGGTGAAATGATGCTATAGTCACCAAGAAAAGTAAAGGGCTGATGTCTACGAAGTTTGCTTCCCAAAGGCTGCCTCACAAACTATCTCCAACCCCTTCTCATTTCAGAAATGAAAACTAAGGATGCAAAGCGCTTCATATCCAAACCAGCTACATTCGTCTGCCCCTGTGCAGAGGGACTGAAGGGAGAAAAGTAAAGATATGGGCTATGTGGCACAGTCCCCCCTCCCCCCGCAAACTCACTGCTCCAACCAGTGATGACACTCTTATTCCTGTAATCCCAGCTCAGGCTTCCTAGATCCTACAAAACCTCTTCCTTTACTATCTCCAAGGTATTTCACACCCGTAAGCCAGTTTTAAAGGCACAGATAGATCTACAAGCTCACTTCTAACATTCCATCACTCGCGTCTCCAAGCAGCTGGTCTTAGGTTTGTGTCCCTATGGCCTTGTCTCCCCACATTCTGCTGACATACCACCCTGAACCCCGGATCCCCTTTATAGATTGTGTAACGTGCAAACATTGCAGACATTTCCAAATGCATTCTTGAGGATGGAAAGTGAGAGTGAAGAGTAGCAAGCAGAGAAAGTCAAGGGAAAGGTCAAGAAAGGGCAAACCAGGCACACCCCACTAGACACCCTTCCTCCAGGGCCTCTCGAGCACACACAAACCTGAGACATAAGTGATGGTTAAAAAAATTTGGGTTTTATTGTTTTTGCTAAACAATACTAAAAAAAAAAAATTTTTTTTTTTCATATTGAAGGCAGGGCTTGAATTATTTAATTTTGATCAATTTATTTAATTCTTAAAAAAAAAAAGAAAAAAAAAAAGAAAGAAAGGGGAAAGATCACGGCCAAAAAAAAGCAGTTACCCCCACTCCATCCCCAAAGCTCTAGCCACTCACATGAGCATTACCCCCACCCAACTCAGTGTCTGATGTTCAGGGTGGCACGTCCTGCCCCATGACACTGCCCTTGGGGCACAGGGGCAACAGTGCCAGTTTTGGCTCTCAGCAGGTTAGTCAAACCAGACAAACTGGTGGGCTAAAGTCCAAAAATTCTTCCTAGGTTTTCTGCCCATTGGCTGAGCACATACAAACTGTCATCAGCTTGTAAGATTTGGGGGGTGCGGGGTGGGGGAGGGCGGCGTAAGAGCAGGAGGAAATCAACTCTAGGTCACTCAAGCCTCTTCCTGTGGGCTAGTGGCTCTGGATCCAGACTTAAAGAAAGGTCGGGGTAGATGGACAATAGGTTCCTTGTACAAGGAACCCATCCCTTGAGGAGGAACTAAGTTGTGCCGTGCCAGAGTTCTTCCCGCAGAGGCACAGGACAAGGGCGGCTCGGCTCGCTCTCCCGTCCAGAGAGCGTGGCAAGGAGGTTCTTCCAGTACCATGAAGTAAGACAAGAGGCAGAGAGAGTCCTGAGGTCTGGGCCAGATGTGAGACTGCCACACACACAGGTCAAACTAAGGAGCCATCAGGAACCCTCTACGCCAAATCCCGGCGGCACACACAGGCTCTACAAAGTGCTGCAGGAGATTCTTGCTGTGAGCTAGGTCAAGGTCAGGCTGCCTGGCTGTGGGTGGTGGGAGGGCAGTACATTTTTTATTTTCGGAGGGATGAGGTGGGAACAGTGGCCATGATCTAGTAAAAAGAGACCTGCAAGAAGCAGAAAATATTTAGAGAACATTTTAATACATATTTTCATATATATATTTAAAGTTAAGAAAAATAAAACTAATCCAAGCCATGCCCTGTGCAGAAAAAAAAAAAAAAAAAAAAAAAAGGAAAAGGAAAAAAAACAAAAAGAAAGAAAGGAGGGATGGGGTTGGAGGAGAAAAGAAATTTTCAAGTGAGACCTGCTTACTGTTTTGGTCTCAAAGAGTCACAGTCAGCTTGTTATTTTTATTCTGGAAGATGTAAAAGTTTCCTTCAATCACTCAGAAGGCAAGTGTAGCCACTTATAAAAACAGAATGGTAGGAACAGCCTAGGAAAGGAGAGGCAGAATGAGAAGGTAGCGCAGGAAAGGGAGTCTCAAAAATAAAATTAACAAGGTGACTGTTCCACAAGGGGGCTGTGAAAAGGACATGGTGGACCAAAGTCTGTTAGTCAAGTAATGATTCAACGTTTAAATTACTCTCTTGTTCTTTTTGTTGGGTGTTTTGTTTGTTCAAGTCTAAGATTTGGAAACGCTGACCCTCTGGTAACAGGAGCCAACAGGAAATATAGGATCCCTTCCCTCCCCCGGCCTGCCTCTGCCGAAGCCCCCAGCGCCTCGGGGCTGGATGCTGGAAGAGTCCTGGTGCGCCGGGACTCAGGAGGACAGGGCAGCCTCCTTCTGTGGTTGCTGCGCTTGTGAACGCTGCAGGATCTTTTGGCTTTCCACGTCTCTAAAATGTTTTTCAACCTGAAAAAGATCAAGGTGGCCAAAGTCAGAGAAGGAGGCAGGCAAGCAAGTCTTCCGAAAGAGCTGGTGCAAGCTTCCACAGCCCTGCCCTGGCTGCCGGCCTCCAGCCTACTGGAGCACCTTCGCCCTTGGTGTCCATGGGTCTCCCATCCACAAGTAGGCAGCCTCATTTTTAAAGATTTCATCCAAAATTAACTAGAAACTGAGCCTGCAAACTAAAATATAAAATAAAATGAAGGGAGATGACTAGGACCCAAAATATTCTTCCCTTTCCGCTGAGCAGAAAGAAAAGCTGGGAAGGACAGTCACCCTGCACTTCCCTCCCATGATGCTGGGTTCTCAATGCTCTGCAAAGGAGGAAGAAATTATAGCTGTAGTTTGTTTTATTTCTACAAATACCATAGCTTAATTCAGAAGGCCAGGTGCTATGCTCAATCAGAGACACCAATGGAAGGCAGTCCACTGATTCTGACCCGCCCCACTAGGAGGGAGCCTGAAGCCAAGAGCCCAGCCTGGAAGAGTCGGAGGGCATTGGGCCCAGGATCAGGGGATCATCTGATCCCAAAGGCAATGGGGTCCAATACTTTTCCAGCCCACACAGTGGTCCCAGCCCCCTCAGGCTCAGGTCTCAGGAGACCTGGCAGGCATTACAGATTGACATCCTGAGGACGACGACCCATCTCTCCCATAGCTCCCAGAGCCTTTACTTACTATTTTGCGTACATGGCTCAGTGCACTTCCCTCTTTGCCTTTACAGTTTTCCACTTGATAAGGGGGTGTAATAACAACTTCTTCCATGACTACAATGTTCTTTTCTTGCCATTTACAGTCTTTAATGCTGGAAGATAGCAGGTGAAACATTACTCCTGGGGGTAGTCCCCCACCCAGGTTCCCAGGTCAGCCTGGCAGCCAATAACTACAAGCTAGCAGTCCACAGAAGAAACATCCCCTGGGCACCGCTGGCTACAACAAACAATACAGATGCACATGTATTCCGAGGCTGTCAAGAGCATGATGCCAAAACATTAGAGACCTGGAGAACCCTAAGAAATGTGATGGCAATCGCAGACTTCCAAGCAAATCCAGGTCTGAACAAGGAGGTCCAAATTATGGGAGTCACTGAGCCAGAGCCTTGGACCGCGGCCGGTTACTGATTTCTATCAGGGGGCACACAGCAAACGTTTCAGCTTGGCAGACCACACAGTTTGTCTCACAGCAGCACTCTGCCCTATGTACCAGACGAACGCCCAGAGCTGGCCCATGAGCATGTCTTTCTGTGATCCGTGCCCTGCTCCCCAACACCCACGATGGCAGCTGCTCCTCAAATTGGATCCTCTCAATCAGCAGACAACTGGGTACTTGCCAGACTAGGGAAACACTTCCTAGTTCACACGCGGGGAAGCCCAGGACAGCTGATGCTAGAGCTCCTTCACATACCTGAAAATGCTCAGACACACCAAACCTCTAAGAGCTCCGACGCCAGCTGCCATCTGTGCACCACACCCAGGGTGATTAAATAGGGTAACAGAAGGCCACAGGAGGGAGTGGGAATGTCAAATGTTCCAGCTTTTCAGCAGCCAGGGAAGCTAGGGGAGAGTCAAATGACTTCCGCTGTGACTAAATGTCTTTCAGGAGGTGGGAAGGAGGCGGCCTTCTGCTCTCTAACTCCCTGTGCACATTCCAATGCACAACTGGGGAAAGTGCTCTGGCTGCATCAGCTTTGAGAAAGGTACAGCAACTAAATAATCATCCCAATCTCTGGCTGCCCGGCATTGTTAATACAGCACCAGTTTACCGGATAAGACCACAAGGTAGCCCATCACGACAGCGCAGCCAGACAGCATCACCCCGAAAAAGGATCCCTGTACCCCAACTCACGTCTTGTGAATGGTCTGGAAGAGTTGCTGGCCCTCTAGGGAGACTCCAGCACTGATTGCATAGGCCTGGCTCAGCTTCTCCTCCTTCTCCGTCCGTGCTTTGCTGGCAAGCTAGGATGCGGGAAAGAAAACAGATTCAGAAAAACATTCACCATCATCCTTCCCAACTAGCAGGATCCACATGAAGAAAAGAAGCCAGGAAAGGCCACGCAGGGTTGCTTCCATTTTTTCAGAGCTCAAGAGCGAAGCAAACAGAAAACCCCACAATGTACAGTGAGTGACTGCTCTTTCTGGCTTATCCCTTTCTCCCTTCCTGTATTTACCAAGCATCCACCACATGTAGGGTATTCATTATGCTAGGCTAGGGACAGCAGAATGGGAATTAGGAGGACAGACTATAAACAAGAAAACAAAAGCATAAGTAAGAAAGCTTCCAGCACTGCTAAGTGCTAAGCAGAAGGACATAACAGAATGTGACTGGAGCTATTTGTTGCAAAGTGATGGTTGGAAAAGCATCAGTTAGAAACAAAATAATGCCTATGCTTCTATTGCAGAGCCAAAGGTTCCTGGCAGCTGCCTTGTCAGTGCCTCCTAGCAGACAGAAGGTAAAGCCGTCAGGACCCTTTCTCCTCTTCACCATTCTGTGTACTCACACGAGCATCTAACCACATCTGCCATCCCTTGCTGAGTTCTGAGCTGATAATGACTTTGTCCTGCTGCTTAGGAAAAGCAGGGCCCCAGCTGCAGGCAACTGCCTAGGTTGTCTTGTACCTAGGCAAGTGTTAGAATGCTGGGAGAATAGCTGCCAGGTGTTCTGGGTCCAGTTAATGCCAAATCTATTAACTATACCAAATATGCCTGCACAGTTGCATATTCAATTTTTTTAAAAGATATGGGGAAAAGGGGGAAGAGCCATGCAGTGGCTCAACAGGTTAATCCAAAACCTGTGAATACTGGCAACCCATACGGGTGCCAGTGTGTCCCAGCTGCTTCACTTTTCATCCAGCTCCCTGCTTGTGGCCTGGGAAAATAGCACAAAGATGGTTCAAGACCTTGGATCCCTGTACCCATGTGGGAGAACTAGAAGAAGCTTCAGGCTCCTGGGTTCAGATCGGCTCAGCTCTGGCTGTTGTGGCCATCTGAAGAGTGAACCAGTGGATGATCTGTCTCTGCCACTCCTCTCTGAAAATCTGACTTTCAAAAAAAAAAAATCTTGGGAATAAAAAGGAATGCTGTGTTGGGACATGCCACACTGGTTCCCAGGCACACCATGCCTCTTCATGGGGCTGGGCAGCGGAGGAGGGTGCAAACTGCCTAGGGAAGGGTCTCGGGACATTCTGGAGTGTGGGCCACAGAGAGCATGTTTGATAGGGAAGGGATGCCTTCCGGGGGCTTTCACAAACAGGGCCACTGCACTCTTAGGTAGGTGAGGGAGCTGAGGCATGGTGGTTTAGAGGAAGGAAATCAGAGGGCACATCTGGGTCAGGCCAAAGCACCCACAAATATCTGAGACCTAAGCTGGGCTGAGTAGCATCATCCAATGCCTGGCTGACTCAAGCCGCAGTACCCACCCACAAGCATTGGGGCTGGGGCTGAGCCACATTAGACTAGGTCCCAGCACCCAATGGAAAGCGAGACAACCACATCTGGGGGACAATTCTATAGGGAATTTGTGGGCCCTCCTCTATGGGACCACAGCATCCTCAGGTTTGTATAAGAGCTGGGGTGGTGACAGACCAATCCAGGCTGGACACTGGAACTCCGCTACACTCACAGGGGGCCAGGGCTGGAGACGAGGCCAGGCTGGAGCAGAATGCAGCTCCCACTGGCACTTACAAAGGCTGGGACTGAGGGCAAGCCATGCAAAGCAGAGCTACAGCACTACATGCATGCATAAGATTCGGGCTGGGGAAGACTAACAGGGGAACTTACGGAAGTCCCCTGCTAGGTTGCAGCTCCTGCCAGAGTGCACATGAGCTGGGGCTGAGGGAAGGCCAGGCCAGGTGGGGCTAGTGCAGCTGTTGGCATATGTGTGGGCCAAATCTGGAGAGGGGGCCAGCTGGGTTGGGCTGGGACACATTACTGGTTGCCAGAGATGCCAGAAGCACGAAACATTTTTTTAAAGGTCTACTTATTCTTATAGAGCCCAGCGCCATGGCCTAGCGGCTAAAGCCCTTGCCTTGAATGTGCCGGGATGCCATATGGTCGCCAGTTCTAATCCCGGCAGCTCCACTTCTCATCCAGCTCCCTGCTTGTGGCCTGGGAAAGCAGTTGAGGATGGCCCAAAGCCTTGGGACCCTGCACCCACGTGGGAGACCTGGAAGAGCTCCTGGATCCTGGCTTCGGATTGGCGCAGCACCGGCCATTGCAGTCACTTAGGGAGTGAACCATCAGACAGAAGATTCTCTCTGTCTCTCCTCATCTCTGTATATCTGATTTTGTAATGAAAATAAAATAAATCTTATAAAAAAAGATCTATTTATTTTTATTGGAAAGGCAGATACACAGAGAGAAGGAGAGACCCATAGAAATAGCTTCCATCTACTGGTTCTCTCCTCAAGTGACCCCAATGGCTAGAGCTGAGCTAATCCAAAGCCAGCCAGGAGTTTCTTCTGTGTCTCCCACACAGCTTCAGGGTCCTAAGGCTTTGGGCAAGCCACTGCCGCTTTCCCAGGCCATAAGCAGAGAGTTGGATGTAAATGGAGCAGGCGGGTTGTGAACTGTGCCCATATGGGATACTGGCATATGCAAGGCAAGAATTTAGCCACTGAACCATTGCACCAGGCCCAGAAACACAAATCTTACTGAGCATAAGACAAAGAAAAATACCACACAAGGTAGACAAAGCACCTTCAATGACGATGGTACATTTCAGAGCCATGCACATCAACATCAGGGTATGATGATATCTGCAGATAAGCAGCCATGCTCATGTGAATGCCCAGTCTACACCCATATACACAAAGGGATGACAGGGGCCAGTGCTATGGTGGAGTAGGCCAAGCATCCATCTCCTGTGCTGGCCATCCCATATGGGTGCCAGTTCTAGTCCCAGCTGCTCCACTTCCCATCCAGCTTCCTGTTGATGACCTAGAAAAGCAGCAGAGGATGACTGAAGTCTTAAGCCACTGTACTCACATGGAGACCCAGAGGAAGCTCCTGGCTTCTTGCTTCAGACGAACCCCACTCTGGTCATTTAGGGAGTGAATTTTCCAGTGGATGGAAAATCTCACCCTTCCCACCTCCCTTTTTATCTCAAATAAAAATCATCGTTTGTTTTTTCTTAAAGAGGTATGATACCTCCAGCAAGCTCCAAGAAGCCTGGAATCCTTGAAACATTATATTCTGCTTTACTAGTGCCCTTCCAAGCCTTAAATTCTACCTGGGAAAAAAATACACAAAGTATCTAAGTTCTTTGTTGCCAGAATGAAGCACCTGGTTAAGGGTCCAGCATGACTATAAAAAAAGGAAGTCATCAATCAAGTTACAAGGAGGTGAGCAGCTCTCTACTAGCTAAGCTGCAACCTCTGTATGCATGAGGCAACAGGACAATTCCCACAAGCTCTCATTCTGGCCTACCTAAGTAAGACAAAGCAAGGCAAAATCCCAGGAACTCCAGGCCAAGCTCCTTCTGTACTGTGGTCTCCAGAACACAGACAATGCCCACCGCTGCAGTGTGGAAGTAACCTTTTCAAGGTTGGCTGTTTTTCTGATCCCATCATATTACAATTTTGCAGATAGATAAATCGTAAGATTTACAGCACTCCAAGTACCCAGGCCCAAACTGTAACAAGAAGACCTTGTGGTCTGAATACACTCAGCTCTTATGCAAAGAGAACTGCTGATATTTTAAGCAAAACAAGCAACACTTACTCAAGCAACAAGAAAACCCTGGCAACAAGGAGTTTTCCTCAAATCTTGCTTCCAAGCAATGCCTCACAAAATCTGGAGTTTCCAAGAAAAGCAGGAAAAACTATAGGGCAGCAGAACTCCTGAGAAGCAGGGAGCCATGAGGCTCTCATGGGCAGACCCCCCCAAAATAACCCTCTGAACATTCGAGCCATGCCTTAAGGCCAGCTCTGACAAACATGCTCCCCATAACACACAAGTTACTAGCCAATGGGTATGGATACGTACACAGTAGCTTTAAAACATACTACCCCACCTCCCCAAATACTACCAAGTCAAGAAAGGAGAGAAGCTGGTGCAGCACATCAGGCATCTACACAAAATGTTTAAGAATGGAACTGACAAATTAAGCTAAAGTGAAAGAAAAAGAAGCCTCAGAGAGGAGCCACTTTCAAAATTTTTTTCAGAAACAAAGTAAAATGATTAGCTCAAGCAGACTGAGTAACAGTTGACACGGGCTGGGTTTAGACACTGATTTCAAAATGTAATTTTTTGGGGGGCGCAGTGTGTTAGCCTAGTGGCTAAAGTCTTTGCCTTGCACGTGCCAGGATCCCATATGGGCACTGGTTCTAATCCCGGCAGCCCTACTTCTCATCCAGCTCCCTGCTTGTGGCCTGGGAAAGCAGTCAAGGACAGCCCAAAACCATGGGACTCTGCACCCACTTGGGAGACCTAGAAGAAGCTTCAGGCTCCTGGCTTCGGAGTGGCTCAGCTCCAGCCATTGCAGCTGCTTGGGAAGTGAATCAGCAGACACAACATCTTCCTCTCTGTATATCTGACTTTACAATAAAAAATAAATTAATTAAAAAAAGAAAAGCTGGAGCTTTAAAGAAGGCCTGGTAGGGATTATTGGAGGTCACCCTGACTAGGCTGTACCCATCAGTTCATATGAGAGATGGGGCTGAAGGTGGAACTGACCAGACAGCTGCATTGGCTGGTGCAAGTGATGGACCACACCTGACCCTGTACTAGCTGGCACACACAAGAGTCAAGTCTGAGGGCACACTAGGTGAGGTTTCTTGGGGGACTCAAACTCCAGCCACAGGGAAGATACGTGCTCCAACCTTGGAATGCATATATCAGCAGTGGGTCTCCTCAGTTATTGATGACTGTGCAGTGGACAGTATGCCCAGATACACACAGGGGACATGACAGCAAGTAGCTTATCCAGGCCAGTAGACAACACTGAGTGTCTCATCTCA